CTAATGGGAATTTTAAAAAATATAAATAGATTTGTGTTTCTCTCAGAAATATCTTCTGTTAACTTAGTACAGGGGTCCTCAAACTTTTTAAACAGGGGACCAGTTCACTGTCCCTCAGACCGTTGGAGGGCCGGACTATAGTTTAAAAAAAAACTATGAACAAATTCCTATGCACACTGCACATATCTTATTTTGAAGTAAAAAAACAAAACGGGAACAAATACAATATTTGTATTTGCATGTGGCCCGCGGGCCGTAGTTTGAGGACCCCTGACTTAGTAGATCAGAGGCCAGGACACATTCAGGAAATCACTACATAGCAATCATATCAGATTCATTTTCATTCCTGATCAGATGGCAGCAATTAATTGTGTGAAAGTTAAGGGCCGAGAGACATCATAGTATAACATCTTTAATGTGAAGTGACATCATTTGATTGGAAAGAGTTAGATTATTAAAGCTGAGGTAATGGAATATTCTTGTTCTAGGGGCAAACCACGTAGATTTAGAAGTTTGTACAACGCAATTGAATTGGATAGCAAGAATAATTTGGGTCTAAATGTGAAGAAAGTATATGTGATGATAAACTTATAAATGTATGAAGTTTATTGGAAGAAATGATAATGATATTTTTCCCATTTATTTAGAAAAAAACTGGTGTATATTATATTCAGCCACAGTCACAAATATTTGGGCTTAGTGAGATGAGCAGGACTCTAAAGGGTCATAAGAGGATCACTGCACTGTGTAATTTGTCAGCACTAAGAGAACTGCCTGCTATGTGCAGGCTGTCTCCTGGACACTACTTCCCCGGGATTTTGACTTAACCAGTAACTTACAAGTTAGATGATTTACCATTAGTGCTGCCTGTACATCTAAAGTTCCAGATCCAAGCAGCTAGTGAAATTCTGTCTCCCAAGGATATGTCCCTTCATGACTGAGAAAACTGTGTCTGCTCAGTCCTGATGACATATCCCTCCTCTCAACTATGATCACAAGGAACCCAGACTCACCTCAGTCTTTTGAGCAACATCAATGATTACCTGTCAAAACAACAGACATCGGGCCAGATCTACTGACAGCTGTCGGAGAATTGACATGCCTGGGAGAAAGCATTCAGAGGCGGAAGCATTTGTGGAGTCACTGCCTTAAAATAAGTTAGCACTAGCTTGTAGACTGACTGGTTAGTAACTATTTCAACTACAGTTTTGTAAACAATTGCTTGTATAAAAGTGTTTACATTAAAAGCTGAAAGAATGATATGTAATTTGATTGGAATGAACAGTTTATGTAAGGAATGACATGTTCAATTCAAGAGAGAACTTTTTTTCATACCATCAAAACACCAAAAGGTAAAAACAGCAAACTTAAGTTATGAGAAAAAATAGAGATAACAAACCTTAAGTTTAAAATGGGCTGCCATAGTTTTAGTATTTATTTCCCAACTAAAGAAGGAATTTCTAGACTTCATTATTGTACTTAAATGTAAGATGACAGACAAATGTTACAACTAAAATGAAATAGATCTTCTTTTTCCCACGATGGAAACAGAACCTGATTTCACATCGTAACTTTAAATAAATTCTCAAATAATTAGTTGGCTTAAAAAGCAGGCAGCCGAGTGTAGAATATACAGTGGGGGTGGCACCTAAGAGCACAGCAATCAGAATCCCTGTGTTTAAATATTGAATCTACCAGTTACTGCATTTGGGTGAGCTACTTATCTTATTACTCAGAATGCTAATGTACAAAGTGAGGATAAAGCAGTGGATATTTCATAGAGATGTTGTGAGGATTAAATAAAAAATATTTAAAAAAGACTGAACACTGTGTTTGGCACATTATACGTGCTAATGGCTTTCTTTAAAATGTTTATTTAAAAACCAAGAAAATAACCTCTAGGTCAGTGGTTCTCAACCTTCCTAATGCCGCGACCCTTTAATACAGTTTCTCATGTTGTGGTGACCCCCAACCATAAAATTATTTCATTGCTACTTCATAACTGAAGTAGTAATTTTGCTACTGTTATGAATTGTAATGTAAATATCTGATATGCAGGATGTATTTTCATTGTTACAAATTGAACATAATTAAAGCATAGTGATTAATCACAAAAACAATATGTAATTATATATGTGTTTTCCGATGGTCTTAGGCGACCCCTGTAAAAGGGTCGTTCGACCCCCAAAGGGGTCGCGACCCACAGGTTGAGAACCGCTGCTGTAGGTGAACAAGTCATAGGTTGTTGTTGTGCTTCTCTAACTTAATGTGCATTTGA